GGGAGGCCTTTCAACGCTACGTCTTCCGGTTCGTGTTCGCCACTCGAGAACCTTTACTCCCCATCGGTTATCAGTTCTTGGAGCGATATGGCTTGCCCAATGCAACTTCAACTTGCAGATCCGGAGAGCTATTTTGGTGACTCCAGTTCTTCGGCGAATTTCCTCATTCCGGATTTTGTCGCGTAAAGAAACTCCGGCATAGCTCTCTCCATAGCTCGTTGTGTGACTCTGAGCTTCTCCAAAAGGCCAACTGTTAGAGACCACGTCTCAGTGCCATACGTCATCTGGCATCTGGCATCACACACTGGTAATAAACCCTTGTCTTCAGGCACTGCGGAATCTCGGACGAAAAGATATCGCGTAGCATCCCGAGCGCTACCCACCCGAGTTGGATTCTTCGAGTGGCCTCTTTGTCGAAGTTGGACCTGCCGAACTGGACTGTTTGTCCAAGGTAGACATATTGGTCGACAACTTCGAGTGTATTCGTTTTTTAGTATGGATAACGTTTGACATATATAACAATTTTATCTACGTATATATGTTACCGGCCAAACCCGATTTCAGGACAAACTAGTTCTTCCTATACGCGATAGGAGTACAAATTTAGGCTAGTCCAAACTAGTTGATCCTGATATAAATACGCACACTCTAGGATAAACTAATATGCGCCTAATTATGTTTCTTTTTTTGGACTAAAATACATAGTAAGCTAATTTATTGTTTGCCTAATGATTGTCAAACTAAAATGCATTCCTCGTTTTAAAACATTTTTATTGTTTTTATTTATTTATTTTTAAACTTCACACAACACAGTACAAAGGCGGACCTAATGCTGACAGCATTTTCTACCAGTCAACCTTAGGGTGGTACCGAGAAAATGAGGTAGGTGCACAAACGTATAAAAGTAAAAAAAAACATAATTATTAAACATAAATATAAAATTCCCACAGCGGCGACAGTCTTTTCGTACTTTTCTACATGTTTTAATGTTCAATCTTAGTGCAGAGATTAGCACTATAAAAAACTTTAAAATTTATAAAAAGCAATGGCGACATCTCTCGTTCGAATTATCGTTGTAAAACGATATTCGAAATTGTTTATATGCTGGAAAGGATATAACAATAGATGCGCCAAGCATTGCTTCAAACGCTAAATAACAATGTAGAAAGAAGGCGTTAAGATTTTCATCTCTGTAGTTATCAGCCGTTTAGCTCAGTGGCTAGAGCGTCAGGCCGCGAATGCCGAAGACGTAGGTTCGAGCCCCACAGCGGCGACAGTCTTTTCGTACTTTTTCTACATTTTTTAGTTTTTTACTATATTATAATGTTCTGTTCTGTTCCATTTCTTACTTGCTGCAGTACACATTTCTAAACAGTCACGAGTTTTCTAAATTATTTCAAAGCCTACAAAATCCATTTCATTAATTCTCTAAAGAATTAACACATTTATATCTGATGATGTCATGAAACTCCTTACAATTTCCCCAGATTGTACTTGGGTGGCATTTTCTTAAAAGCAAAGCGATTCTTAACCATTCTAATTTTGAGAGAGAGCTCATTCCAAAGAAGGATAGATTGGACAAAGAAAGAGGAATGGATACAAACAGATCGATGAGGAGGACATAACAGAAGGCGATTATGTTTAGAGTGAAGATTCTTGATGTTGACTGTGCTTAGGTATTGCAAGTGAGGAGATAAATATGAAGGAGTAAATGGGGAATCACGGTAAGAAAAAAATGTGGTCAGGGAGCGTCGTTGTCGAATGGTTAGCCAATTTAATTGTGACCGATTCGACGATATAACGACTATGTCATCATAACAAAATTTCCAGTTTTCAATTACAAAAAAAAATAAAATATATACAACCAGACGAGCGTCATCTTTTCATATATGAACTATCCGGTTGTCTAATTAACGGCATCTAATTCAATTTCTCCCTCATACAAACGCCATTAATGTTTATTCCTGTCGCACGCGTTTGAATAGTCTTTGAACTCACACTCAAAACTCGCGGCAAGCAGACGACCGTACGCGATGCAGGCAGTTGCATATTTCCTTGCAAACAATTGTATAATTACGCCTAAAACTGTAACTGTGCTTCATTTTGTTCCCGTATTGGGTAAGTTGTGTATACAAAATTAATTAAGTATTGTGGAGTTATTTTGTTGATCAGTATATAATTGTATTTTATAGATTGTATTTTGCTGTGCCGTGATAGCCGTGATAGCTCAGTGTCCGGGCGCTCGCCTTAATTCAATGTATACTCGAGCAACCTGAGTTCGATCCCGGGTGCCGGCACCAATGAAGTTTTTAACTTTAAGTGCTGAATTATCACGTGCTCCGCGGTGAAGGAAAACTTCGTGAGGAAACCTGTATATTTTCGGAATAATAACAAAAAAAATGTATTTCGAAAATATGTGAAGTCCGCCAATCCGCAGTGGGGCCGCGTGGTGGACTATGCCCTGATACCCTCTGTATAGAGGAGGCCTTTGCCCAGCAGTGGGACATGTATAGGCTGTTACTTTACTTTTTTTTTGCTGTGTAATTTTTATGTTCTTATTATTGCCACTAGCTAATTATATAGCTTTACTTCCGTATCTGAGTGAGTATACCTTCATATTTCTTGTTTGCACCGCAACCGCTCAGAAATTAAAACACTGCCAACAATTGCCTCTTTTCGCGAAGATTTGCGTGTAACAATTAAAACCAATAATTACTAGAATGTAATATTAGTCGTTTAACCGGCATTGCAGGAACTTGGTACGGGCTAAACTTGAGTACCAGTTTATTGCGACGGTTACTTGGGCGCAACAGTGAGAGTTAGCTGTTGCAGAGCTGGACTGCTATTCTTCGCATCTTCCTACAAATTATCCTGCAACAAGACCTGGGACGTGTTGCACGCTAACAAACAAAGTGAGGATAGTGCGGTATTTGTGCGACGGTTTACCGGATCGGATTTATGAACCTACGACCCTGATTGTAAAATTAGTAACAAATTAAAACCCTAGTAATGTTTACGTTATTATTCTTTAATTACCTTAAACCGTGACAACGATACATGGTCATATTTGCGGAATTTGAAAACGAATCGAATGCAGTTATTCAGAAGTCGGTCGAGTTTATTGATGTGATCTGCATTCAGGTCAAAGTAGCACATATCACCATAGTCGATTAAGGGAAAACTTTAGGCCTGTACGAGCGTAACTTTACTTTTATCGGCGGGAAATTCTTAAATTTGTAAAGACAGCGCAAGACACTTGTTACTCTTTGGCTGACACTAGCTATTTGATCGGAGCGGGAACTCCAAACTACCATGGCTTGCCATTTGGACGGATTTACGGTTAATCCAAACTTATCTGACCAGGTCTTAATGGCAACTAAATCTTAATTAACCTTAAAAACAGCCTCATTAAGAGTATCTCTGGATGCCTGAGCATATAGCTGCAAGTATTCGGCGTAAAGATGATACACACAGTGAAGTGATAAAGTTTATAAAAACGGAGAATAACAGAGCGGAGAGAATACCGCCTTGAGGGACACCATTATTCATATAAAGCCAGTTTGGTGATGAATCACCAATATTGACCGACTGCTGGCATCTTCGAAGATAGGAGGAAAACCATTCCAGTGCTTCGCCAGAAACCACTATATGAGAAAGGATATCGTGACTGACGGTATTAAAGGTATTAGAAAAATCAATAAGCAACATAACTGTAACCCTTGATTCCTCCATGCCGGCCCTAATATCGCTCTAATAGGATGTCGCCACATAGGCACCTTTTAGTGATGTCTCTATCTCAAGTTTACAAAGTTACTCCATGCTCCCCCTGTTAATTTAAAAATTTTAAGTTTTATATTATATGACATATATTTACTCTAACCCTATTGTGTGTAATATTAGAATTTATTAAGCTAATATTTACAACATTAAATCTATCTAAATTACATTTTATCTAATAAACCTAGTCCACACGTCATGGCGCCAAAAACGCTAGCTGCATTTCCTCGCTGAATAATTATGATGCATATATAAAATTAAATGTACAGATGATGTAGATGATAAAGTATAAAATCCTGTTTTGGTTGACCTACCCCTATCGAGTTTCCTCACAAAATGTTGTTTTTAGTAAATATAATAAGTCAATTAACAGAAAAGCAAAGCTTTTCTCAACTAAATGTTATTTGCTTTGATAACTATTCTTTTGTAGTTTTCAAAAACTTTTATTTTTTTACCAATCTCCAGCCAATTTAATAAAACGCTACAATAATGTTGCCTACCTTTGTCGAGGTTATAATTAAATGATGCCAAGTATAAAAAAACATGTAAGCATGATTCAATAATTCTCTCTCATTGAGTTTCCATAATATTTTATATTAAAAATTTAGTAAATGATATTTCAAACACGACGATATAGTTCTATAGCAAAAGTAAACAAATAAAGGGTTTATAAATTACGCTCTAAATTACCAAAACTGGTAAACCAACAAATTAATCGAGCTTTAGAATTTATTTTTGATCACATTCGCGGTTATCACTCAACATCCGGTGAGCTGCCAGAATACTTGCCATTTTCTCCCATAAAAAAAAACAAATGTTCGTTCCGTATTTGGTTCTGAGAAAATAATAAAACACATGGACCATGAAACAGTTACTCTTTTTTATTACAGTAATCATAACACATACTATTAGTCAAAAAACATTTCTATTGAGGGTATTAAAACATAGTTAATTCGAACTAAAGCGCTGTAATACCACAATTATAAAATCCCTGGAAATATACTCACCCAGCCTGAGTATTATTTCGCGGGACTAGTAAAGTGTGACCATTTTCGTTACACTAATTATTTGACTAGAATTTTCCGACGGATATCTTAAATAAATTCATAATCTATAATGTTGAATAAATAAAAAAAAAATACACCGATAAAGTTTTGCATCGCGCTAGTTGTTTTCCTATCATTTCGGGTAAAATAAGTTGACGTTAAAATCTACATCGATTACTTATTGTACCCGAGGTTTTTAAAGATACCGTCTTGATCCATTATGTGTTCGTATACCGGTGCCTCCCTGAAGGTGACGGAAGCGTCTGCTATGTGCATCTGCCGTTTGCCATATCTGAAAAGCACAATATCTTTGACTGTGGTACGATCATGCAACAGTGTTCGCTGTTGCACGAATGGGCAGGTCCGTCCGGGTAACGGAGGTGTTATACTTCTGCGTTTCGTCCGGTGGGTGAGGTAGCCGGGTGCCCACATCATTAAAAGGTGGCAATACATCTGCAACCAGTGTTGCAAATGTCCGTGGGCGGCGGTTATCACTTAACATCAGGTGAACCGCCAACTCGTTTGCCACTTTCTCACATTAAATAAAATGTTTGCTTCTACTCAATCATAAACTCCAAACGATTCTAAACTATAGCCAAAAGTTGTTTTAATTAATAATTAAGGTCTTTTTAAAAATATGAATTTTATGGATATTTCTAGGTTAGCAATGGTCATCATCATAATTTTAATTCGCTCAACTTTTGTCAATGCCGTAATTAGCGCTTGTTTTTGGATACCTCTTCATGCCACAATAGATGCAGGCGATGCTGCAGGTAAAGGTTAAAGGGGAAAGGTTGTAAAAAGCCGCAATTAATGCAGGCCATGATTAAGATTATTTAATAGCAAAGCGTTACCTTCCTCTGCCGTGCACGGAGTAATACTCTTGCAGCTCTTTTAGATAGTTGGATATCTGCTCGGCGGTGTCGAAGCGCTCCGGGCGACGAAGACGCGGGTACTGCCCACTAGCGACGCAAAACAAGACGGCCAGAAGGAACAAAATGGCGGGAACCGTTAGTCGCATTTTGTCTGGAAAATTACATTTAATAATTGGTATGATAAAATGGCAACTGCCTTAAGGCGTGTACATTTTATTTTACTAATGCTTATGATAATTATTGCTTACGCTATTAGCAAAATATACATTAATTACATGAATTACAATGCTTTATGTTTTTTTCTTTTATATGCTCCATGCATGTAAAAGAAAAAAAACATATTGACCATCTTTTTTTCTGAATAATGTTTACTTAGGAAAACTTTTGTAACATTTTAAACATTCGCATACAATGGTCCTTCTCTTATGAACTACCTAAATCAGATAAATAACTAAATTGTTTGTTTTAGTAACAAGAAGAAGTTTTAAATTTACTCGAGCAACCTAGGTTTAAATATCGGTGTCAGCACCAATGTAATTATCCACTTAAAGTGCTGAATTAAAATATCGTGAGGACACGTGCACGTTTTCGAAATAATTACAACAAAAAAAATATTTCAAAGAAATGTAAACTCTGGCAACCCGCAGTGGGGTCGCGGGGTAGACTATGCCCGAATACCTTCTGTATAGAGGAGGTCTTCCAGTGGCACTTGTAAAGGCTGTTTCTTCACTTTACTTATTTATTTATTTTTTTATAAATAATAGTAATAAAATATCTTTATTCACATAGACGCTTGCGCGTTCTTATGAAACGTCAAAATTTTACAAGAAATTAACACGTTCGTAAGTTACCACCAGTTCGGAAAGCAGTTTCTGTTGAGAAGAAGCCGGCAAGAAACTCAACAGTTGCTCTTTTTTAAAAAATCAGTTTACAATATAATAGTACAGGTACAATAGTCTTGTTTTTGCCTACGTGAGTATCAACAGTATTAACCCCACACATTGGCGTCGTCAAGATATTCGGCAATAGTATAATAGGCTTTAGCCATAAGTGTACTTTTAATTTTTCGTTTAAATTCATCAAGTGGCAGACTTAACAACGACTGTGGGATTTTATTATACATGCGCACACTTTGCCCCATGAACGATCTGTTTACTTTTTGTAGGCGAAATGATGGCGTAGTTAGTTTGTCCTTATTTCTAGTATTTAGTTTATGTCTGTCACTATTCTTTTGATAATTATTAATATTCTGTTTAACATACAAAATATTACAATAAATATATTATGCGAAAAGTTGCCAAACGAGCAGACGGGTCACCTGATGTTAAGTGAATACCGCCGCCCATGGACATCTGCTACACCCGAGGGTTACAGATGCGTTGACAACCTTTTGAAAATTGGGCTCCGGCCACCGCACTCACCAGACGAAACGCGAAAGTATTTGTCAGTATACTATTTGTCCACTTTACGCTGGTCTTCTGTGAGGTCGTGGTACTTACCCGGCCGGGCCTGCCCATTCGTGCAACAGCCGAGGCCGCTGCGTGGTCCTACCACTTAACCCAATATACAAAATTTAACGGTGTTCGTAATTTAACGGTCGTACTTTTTCTACAAATTTTAACTCATAACCATGTTAAAGTTACTTTACATTATCTACCATAAAATTGTAATCAATCTTACTGACAATAATAATAAGTGTCATCTGTCGGCGAATGGACTAACCACTCGAGTTGAAAAGTACAATGTAGTTTAGTCACGTTCAACTAGGGGGCGATTTAACAACTTAGTTTTTTTCTTTCAATCTAACAAGAAATGTGTTTAAAAGATACAAAATCAATTTATTTCATAATAAAACTATGCAATAAAATCACTATTAGTAATAAGTATACGGATGACCTCAAAAACTGCATTAAACTTCACTTTAGACGACTTTTAATTGAATATTTTTACGGAATGTGCAAACGCCATTCATTATCTTGCACATTGATTAATTAATAGTTTACTGATTTGAGTTATATTCTTTTGAAATTATTTTATCTAGATTTATTGTTTTGCCCATGTAGAAGGAATATCTACCTACATTATCCTATAACGTACTATCGTTAACCGTTCTTCGTTTACGTTTTTTCTCCTGCATACATACCCAATATATGTACTAAAACCATCAATAATTCTTACTTGCATGAGGTTTAATTCGGCGCCTGTCCATAACTCATTTGATGTAATTTTGTTAGATTAATACCCGGTTTCGAGGTTCTTCAGTTAAATTCAGATTAACTATTGACAGGGCCGGATTAAGCAAGCGCGAGGCCCGTAGCAAATTATTTCAAATAGCCTTTGGTTCTTATGTATGAAGTAGTAAAAAACAATTCGATACTCTTAGATTCAATAGACTTACTCCCGGTTTCTGAAACACTCATCGTCGTACCAGAATGATCTTCTTAATGAATGATCAATTCAAAGAGTTTAACAATCCTTTTGGCAACTCAAATGAACACTTTCACAGCTGATTAGTTGACATCTAGGATGAACAGTATTTCAGAAACCGGGCGTGACTCTATAAAAAGAATAGAATGCCATAACAGTTTTGGTTATTAAAGCGTGTCAAAATATTACTCTGTAACTTTCTATATTCTGACATTTAAAACACCAGCTGTACAGACGAGGCCTTTGCCTAGCAGTGAGACATATTGGCGCGTATGGTACTTTTGTAATTAATATAAGTGGGAACCAGTGACCTGTGATGTGATCATCGCGCCGGATTCGGATCTAACACACATTCCGACAAAGCGATAGCGATTCAATTATAAAATTATCGATGCGGGTGATAAGTCGGCTAAAGCGATCAGTTTTTAATGGCATAATCGAGATTTTATGGCAGACCGAGGCGGCAGTTGCGATAATCGCATAGGAGTGCAAAACATGTTACGATATTGATAAAATATTTCCTGATCCAACGTCAATAAATCTAGATGCTTTGATAAAAAGCTTTGTTTAACGTAAATAAATCAAGGGATGATAACTTTTACATATTAACGCATTATATAGCAATAACATGCATCGAGTGAGATGTCACCACACCATAGAAATGTTATTTCGGTCGGGATTTTGTTTTCTATGGCCTGCAAAGAAATGATGTAATAAAAGAATGAATTATTTTACGAAGTCCATTCTACGGTTTGTATTCGAAAATCTGCTATTCACTTTGTGTCCTCACATCTTAGCGATAGGGAACAAAAAGTATCTATAATTGCTATATTGTCATCGGGGTTCATAGTACAAATGTGTTCCCCAGGGATCGATCTTGGGCCCATTTCTATTTTTAATCTACATTAATGATTTGGCATATGTGGTAGAAAAAAAGTCTTCACTGTTGTTGACGCTTAATAGAAAAGATGTTCCATCAGAGCAACCAAATGAAATACTAAGTGTTGTGTCGGGCTGCTTTGCGATCAATTAATTTACTTTTGTACGCCTAAACTTTTGAGTAAATGTATCAGATTTACTTTATCAGAGCTGTATCATAAACCAGGAATCTGTATTGATGACAACATCCTACCTCTTGAGGATTCATCGGCATCGGCATTTGTACATAATTAGCAAAAAGTTAAGCGCTGCCGCGTTTGCCATAATATGCAAGATCAGGCAACTACCAAACGAGCCAACATCTAAATTAGTTTATCATGCTTATTTTCACAGTATTATGTCTTATGGTGTCTTACTTTGGGGTTCCGCATCCGGCTTAGACACGACATTTGTATTGCAAAAGCAAGCGATACGTGCTGTTTATGGCTTGGGTCCACGTGAGTCCCTTCGGCATATTTTAAAACAAAGAAACATCTTAACGCTCCCGTCGCTATACAATGTATGAAATAACATACACCTTTTTACAAAAAAACATACCACATTGCGTCGGGAAAGGTAATTTACAGGTAGATCGATGTTTTTGAATCAATGGATGTTTATGAGTGCGTTCTAAGGCCAATATAAAAGATGTCTGTTCATAAGATGAATTAAGTAACACGATAATTATTCAGTCAAATATTTCTATTTCTCATATGCATGCTTAACGGTCGATAAAGGATTACTCTACTGTTGTAGGACCATGCGACAGTGTTTGCTGTTGCAGGAATGGGCGGGTCCGTCAGGGTAAGTACCACGATCTCACAGAAGACCGGCGTGAAGTAGAAGTTTAACTTCTGCGTTTCGTCTGGTGAGTGAAGTAGCCGAGGCTCACATTATTCAAAGGCAAAGCATCTGCAACCCTACGGGTGTTGCAAATGTCCACGGGCAAGCGTTTATCACTTAACTTCAGATGAACCGCCAGTTCGTTTGCCACTTTCTTACATATAAAAAAAACTCAATACTAAAAAGATTCACCGGAGCATCTTTAATTATTAAAGTATTTTACATGTTGACAAACTAAGGTATCAATTTCTTTTGCACGCAAAATGTTAGCCTTATCTTTGGTTATATAACAATTCTCGTTACGTCAATATATAACATTCTTACTTATAAAGTCCAAACCCTCAAAACTTAGTTCGACTAAAAAAGGACAAAATTTAGCAGGCTTCAACAAAAATGTTAGTCATTTATGTTCGAGCAAGTTCATTTTATAAGGAAAGTTCGAGCGATTCGCGAAAAAAGTTCCAAACATATTGCGCATTTTCTAGAAATTAAAACTAACTCAATATCACGTTGTCGCGATGTCTTATTTCGCAAGCCAACTTCAGGCTGAACAAAGTTTTTTTAAAGTTCATAATATTGTTGAAGAAATTCATCAGAAACTTAAATAAGCAACTGTGAGTCAATTAACGAACGGTTAAGGGAACCGATCTGAACTCTACATAATACCATCAAAGTAAAGCAACCTTCCCTTCAAAAACGTTTAAAAGCTTGAATGGAAAAATAATACACATAAAATCCGTTAAAGGCACTAAACAATATATTATGCAAGAGTTATTAGTCAAAGATATGGGCGCTATTGAAATAAATAATTAATAAATAAATAAATATTTCAGGACACATTTTAAGCAAAGTTTTCTACTGCCAAACTAAGCAACGCTTGTACTGTGGATACTAGATAACTGATAAACATACTTAAACATAATTTTCTTTTTTAAATAAACACATATTATAAATATGC